CCTCTCAGTTTGTCCTTCTGTTCTCCTAGGAAAGGCTCCTCAACCAGGGCCTCCCCCCCTCCGTGGTCCCCTCCCAAAGCTCCCCCTTCTCACTGCCGTATCTTGCAGGGAGGAGATGCTGAAGAGTGGGGAAAACCTCCTCCTGAAGGGCAAGGTTTTAAAGGTCTGGGAGAAGAGCAACGTTTTCCTGCTGGTGGAGGACATCCGGGGGGATGCGGACTGAGCCGAACCTCCCTGGGATTGAGGGCTCCACAGCTGCGGAAGTGAAGGGACACACTCGGTAGCCCCTTCTTCTTGGACATCCAAGATGCCATCACCACAATTGGAATTAAGCTGGAATGCCTGGTGAGAGTTGAGGTTATTCAGGTGGGCAATCTATGAGTTTAGTGAAAGTATTGAATGCAAAAGAGCACGTGTGTGTGTGTGTGTGTGTGTGTGTGTGTGTGTGAGAGAGAGAGAGAGAGAGAGAGGACTTCTACATAAGCGTGAACTGAAAGGTGAGTAGCTAAGAATATCTATCAACACCCCCAATCTGAAGACATGTTGGATTTAGGTCCAGACAATCCGTCAAAGCAGGTCGGAGTTGTTGGCCTTGAAGTCAAAACCACCTGGAGGCAGCACAGCATCTTCCGAAGGTCAGGTGGTGATGGAAACAGATACTCAATGTGTGTGTGAAGCTTCATCAACGGTCAGCAGAGGCCACCTGAGTAACGTCCTGTGGCTTTTTTCCCCAGGGAAGGAAACAATCCAGAAGTAAGAGAAATATCCCCCAGGAACCACTCAGACTTCAGCCCCCCAGTTTTCCTCCTGACAGGCTTTCTGGGCCTGGAGAAACACCATTTCTGGATTTCCCTCCCCATCTGCTGCATGTATTTCGTGGCCCTCGCAGGGAACTCCCTCATCCTCTCCGTCATCAGGACGGACCAAGCTCTCCACTCCCCCATGTACTATTTCCTCTCCATGCTGGCCCTCTCGGACCTGGGTTTATCCCTGGCCACTTTGCCCACCATGCTGAGCGTCCTGTGGTTCAACCACCGTGAGATCCCCTTTGAGGCCTGCCTGGCCCAGATGACCTTCATCTACGCTTGCTCCATTATGGAATCTGGCCTTCTCTTGGCCATGGCCTTTGACCGCTTGGTGGCCATCCGGAACCCTCTGAGGTACACCAGCGTTTTGACCAATGGGACGGTGATCAAGATTGGGGTGGGGGCTGCCATCCGGTCCATCTGCCTCGTCCTGCCAGGTCCCATCCTTATGAGCCTCCAGGAGTTTGGAAGGATAAACGTGCTCTCCTACGCCACGTGTTTGCACCCGGATCTCCTGAAGTTAGTTCATTCAGACAGGAGGCACAGCAGCCTCTACGGCCTGGTCGTGATGCTCTCCTCTACAGGGGTGGATTCAGTCCTGCTGGTCCTCTCCTACGTCTTGATCCTCAGGACCGTCCTGGGAGTCGCCTCCAAGGCGGAAGCCTTCCGGGCCCTCAGCACCTGCGTCTCCCACCTCTGTGCGGTCTGCAGCTTCTACGTCCCCATGCTTGGGCTCAGCGTGATCCATCGGTTCGGGAGGAAGGCGTCCCCCGTCGCCTACATCCTCATCGCCAACGCTTTCTTGTTGGTGCCCCCCGTGACCAACCCCATTGTGTACAGCGTGAAGACCAAGCAAATCCGCATTCGGATCCTGAAGAGGTTCCGGAGGGAGAGAGAAGGGTGAGAACCGCAAGGGGGTCGTCACCGCTTGTGGCCGTTTCTAGCGTGCCGTTCTTCTCCTCCCCCTGCAGACGCGCATTGGGACCCCATAAGAAACCCGAGTCCAGCGTTTGTATTGCAGCCACGGAAGATCCACCCAAGAGAGGACAGGTGGCTTCAGGAAAGGCCCAGGCGTCCAGGAGGAGGAAAGGTTTGTTTTCCTTTCAGATGGTGGGTGAAGCTCTGAGGTTGTCCCCCCCCCCCCAATTCAATTCCATGAGGCCGAATCCCCTTCAACTCCTTCTGAGGTTCAGAGGGACGAAGCTGAAGCTCCCTCTTAAGCAGAATCTGGGCCTAATGGGACAACCGGCCACAGGACACGTCGCAGCAGAACAATCCAACCATTCAATTCATTTAAAAGAATTAAAACATTGCCTTAATTTTTGTCATTCACGTTTCATGTTGTCCTGCTTTAATGATTCTGTTCCACGATTGCTTCGATATTAGTGTATCTCTTGTCCCGCAGCAGGTTCTGCCATGGGGAGTGGCCCTAAACCCAATCTGGAAAGGTTTCCCTAAAAAAAAGACAAGCAAAGACAAAGAGAAAGTCCATTCGGTTCTTTTCTCCCCATGGGGAAGACCGTTGCTTCCCTTTATAAGGGTCAGGGGAGGCTTGACTGGCATATCAAAGCAAATAAATAAGTCCATAAATAAAAGTTTCTATGCTTGGTTCTGGTCCCTTGTTGGGCCCTTCAGAGGGAATTGAAGTCTTTCCTTGTTCTCACCTCAATATCCACGCCATTTCCCAGCACATTGTAATGGCTCAAAGTTACCGTGTGGGAAGATGGGACGCTAATAATCTTAACAAACAAGGAGACAAGTAAACAAGTCTGGAGTGAGATGGGCGGATAATAAATTTTACAAATAAAAAAAAAAACAAGCAAGCAATCAAATCTGGAGAAACTCTCCCAATCAGGCGGATCGATCTTGCGGCGACGGGGAGAAGATTCCCTTTCTTCTGTACCTGGAAGAGTTTTGGGTTCTGCTTCTTACATGGCAGGCAGCTCCATTGGGGTAGGGATTTTGGGGAGGGGGATCTTTGACCCATGTTGCAGTCTGCTTCTAAGGTGATTTGGGACCCTCACAGGCTACATAAATCCGGGGGGGGGGAGCAGCCCTGCTCACGAACCCAAGAGGCAGCCAGAGGGTTGGTAGACAGACTGACAGTCTTGGCTGCAGTACGATGTCCGATGGCCTAAATCACGTTGCGCTTCTGGATTGTTCTTCATTGTCCTGTTTCTCCCCTTTCAGCAAACCTTCCCTTCTCCCGGCTTATCTCAAACTTTTGCTTCTCTGCATCTCCTGGGAGATCCTGCCCTGTCACTCAGAGCGCTCTGCTTGTTGCTAGGCAACCCTGGGCCCTCGCCCTCCGTGGCCAGTTATCAGGACCTTCTCAGCTGCTGGATGGTTCTTAAGGTTTGTGAGATGGCAGCTCCTTTGGCCGCTGCATCTCCTCCACCACCTGCCCGGCCCACTGTGGCAGTGCTGGGCTCCACCCTGGAATAATAGGAGGCTAATTGAGTAACAGAGTTGGAAGGGACCTTGGAGGTCCTCTAGCCCACCCCCCTCCTCAAGGCAGGAGACCTTACTCCATCCCAGTCTCTTCTTCAATGCCTCCAGTGACGGAGAACCCACAACCTCTGGAGGCAACTTCTGTTCCACTGGTTCATTGTCCCCATTGTCAGGAAATGCATCCTTAGATGCCGGTGGCTTCTCTCCTTGATCAGTTTCCATCCGTGGCTTCTTCTCCTGCCCTCGGGGGGCTTTGGAGGATCTGTTGACTCCCCTTTCTCTGGGGCAGTTCTAGGCAGGGTTTCAAACACTGGAAATCCAAATAGGTTTTTCCATTCAACCCTGGCCTGGCAGTTCAGAGGGGCGGGGAAACGTTGGTCCCCTCTTCTGTGATAAGAATAGTTTTCAGAGGGTCTGTACTGGTTCTCCCAGTAGCCCCCTTGAGATGAATTGGATCTCCAGCTCCTTCAATGTTGAGGAAGGATTATAAAATGCAAACAAAAAGGTCATTTATGTGCTTGGCATCGTTATCTTATTGTTTGGCGCATGGCTTGTGCACCTTAAAAGACAGCATTATTCCCTGAACTGTCCGGAGGGCCTGCCCAGGTCCTCGGCTGCTTTGGGGAGGGGGACGAGGCACAAAAACACAAGGAGGTTTAAGAGTTTCCCTTTGGTAAGACGGGCAGCCAATAAATGTGATAATAAATAAATGAATAAACAAAGAAACATGGGTGGACTCTCCAAGTGAGCCTTGCCTGCCTCTGACTCAGGTGTGGGTCCCCGAAAACCCCCTTCACTTTCAGGCCCTGCTCTCTCCTTCCTGCCGTGGTCCAAGTTATAAATCCTGACCTAAGGCCCAGTTCAGCCTAGAGGTTAAGGCACCAGGCTAGAAAGCAGAAGGCTGTGAGTTCAAGTCCCGCCTTAGCCACGACTTGGCCCAGTCACTCTCAGCTCAACCCACCTCACAGGATTGTTGTTGTTGTGGGGAAATCAGGAGGAGGAGGAAAGTGTGTCGGATACGTTATAATCTAAAATAATTTGTAAAAATAATAAGAGTGGGATACAAAATGGTTAATAGAATTGAGTTGGCATTTGGCCCCTTCTGCAGTAAAGTTAGCTGGTCCCCGTCAAATCCCAGCGGATACTTAGGCTCTGGGCTTCAGTTAAAATTCGATCATAAAGAAATATTTATGAGCGAAGGTTTTAAATGGTCAGATGGAGTTCAGCCACATGCAGCCTCTGTCCTGCCCTGCTTTCTCTCCGGAAGTCCTTCCTGTTTTACCCACTTTTCCCCCTAAGCTAAAAATCTCCCTGATCCACCGAATCAGAAGTTCTGGTGCCGGATAGGAGATGCAGCTTCTTCGGTTGAAAGGTGCCCAACCACCTTTCTTGGTCCGATTTCTCCCACTGCAGGAGCCCAATGCCAAGCTCAGCGCTTGCAGCCAGGCGAGGCCAAGGATCTGGGATGGGGAAGGGCTTGCTATGGAATGGGTGGGTGGAGCACATCAGATTTGCCCTCTGTTGGTACCTACTCCGAGGTTCAGTTACAAGGGGTCGTGCAGAGTAGCTGTCATGAGGCATCTTTTATGGGACTAAAGAAGAACAGTTTCCATTTAGTACTATTCTTTATTCTTTATACCTATAAACCACCAGAATCATACGGAGGTGGTGTACCAATAGCACAAAACGCACCATGATAACATAGCAAGAAATAATAAGAGGGAAAGCCATCGTCCACAGGGAAGGGCTGAAGCCGCTCAGACACCGGGTGTCAGCGTTCCAAGTATCATGTAGAATTAAATCAGAGTCAAAGGCAAAACGATCCTTAATATTCCAATTTAATAAAGCATTCATCTTGGCATTATGCTATGGATCCCAATACTGGAAATGACATCAGAATTCCACCCAGTTAAAA